CACACACACACACACACACACACACACACACACACACACACACACACACACTCCTCCTCTCTTGCGGTGCTGAAGCTGCTGCAGCGACAGACTCTCTGCATCATCAGGTCCAAACGGTCGGTACCAGAACTCCATCAGGTTCTGCTTTCATCAGGTTCTGTTTTTCTGTCCTGCAGCTGTGTGTTCTGTCGGACCGGACCTCCTGCTTGTCCTGCAGAGGAACAATGGACCTCACCCTGCTGCTTCCTGTCCACTGAGACCAGGTGAGTTTGTCGAGGTGGGAGAACCGTTCAGGTTTTACATGTTGGAGCCCGGTTCTGCTGGGTTCTGCTGGGCTCTGCTGGGTTCTGCTGGGCTCTGCTGGGTTCTGCTGGGTGGGCGTGTCAGGCTGTTCTTTGTCTGGATGAGATGTTTAAGAATTCATTCATCACCTGCAGGTTTGTGAGCTTCAGCTTTCTTTCCCTCAGTGCTCCTCAGCTCACAGGTTCTGGTCCTTTTCCAGAGAGTTCTGCAGAACCTGGTCCACTGGCGTCCCTCCAGGAACAATCAGAACATCTGGCTGCAGGTCTTTATTTTGTCTTCTGGAAACGACCCAAACAGAGACGATGAGAGACAGAACAGATGTTTTATTAATAATTCATTGTTTAAAGAGAACCCTTCAGATTATAATCTGAAATATTGAAGGATTTTGGTTTAAAAATCTGAAACCTAAAAATAAAAACTTGTCCACGTGACGAGCTTTAAAGAGATTAAAGTGAGCCGCCTCCTAAACAACTCCATAATTAAATCTGTGGTGAAGACGAGGATGAAGATGTGACGAGCAGAACCACGACAGCTGCTTGACTTCCTGCAACAGTTCTGCTGCTGGGTCAGAACCGGGCCAGAACTCAAGCACAAACATCAGCTGCTGTGGGTGTAGACTGGTTTAGGGTTGGTTTAATCTGGTTTAGGGTTGGTTTAATCTGGTTTAGGGTTGGTTTAATCTGGTTTAGGGTTTGTTTAATCTGGTTTGGGGGGTTAGACTAGTTTAGGGTTTGTTTAATCTGGTTAGCGGGGTTTAGACTGGGTTTAATCTGGTTTAGGGTTTGTTCAATCTGGTTTGGTTGGGTTTAGACTGGTTTAGACTGGGTTTAATCTAGTTTGGGGGTTATAATGGTTTAGGGTTTGTTTAATCTGGTTTAAAGAGTTTAGACTGGTTTAGTTTGGGTTAAATTTAGTTTGGGAGGTAATAATGGTTTAGGATTTGTTTAACCTGGTTTGATTGGTTTTAGACTGGTTTAGTTAGGGTTTAATCTAGTTTTGGGGGTTAGACTGGTTTAGGGTTTGTTTAATTTGGTTTAGTGTGGGTTTAATCTGATTTAAGGTTTGTTTAATCTAGTTTAAGGGGTTTAGACTGGTTTAGGCTTGATTTATCCTGGTTTAGGGTGTGTTTAGTCTGGTTTAGTTTGGGTTTAATTTGATTTAGGGTTTGTTTAATCTGGTTTAAGGGGTTTAGACTGGTTTAGGGTGTGTTTAGTCTGGTTTAGTTTGGGTTTAATCTAGTTTGGGGGTTTAGACTGGTTTAGGGTTGGTTTGTTCTGGTTTAGGGTTGGTTTAATCTAGTTTGGATAAACTAAGCTTGACTGTTCTGTATTTTTTATTTTTCAGGTTTGACAGTTTTTATTTCAGTTCAGATTTTTTTTGAATTAATTCTGATCTTTACTGATTAAAACTCAGGTTAATGAAATATTTCCAGCAGACTGACAGGTTTAACATCTCCTCCTGAAGAGTTCCCCTCAGCTCAGTTTTAATCCCTGAACTGAGCCTGGATCCACAGAACCAGAACCAGAACCAGCAGGTTAATTGCTTTGGGACTCAGAGAAACTAAACATCTTTAATTATCTGTCAGTTTTAATAAATCCTCTGATCTTCAATAAGAACAAGATTTGATTTCAGTCGTCAGACGGAAACAGATTTTAAAGACAATAAAAGTCTTTATTAAAGGTTAAACACTTGAATCAGCTGACGGCTTCGTTAAATTATTTAAATTAACTCAGTCATAATTCAGTGAAAAACAATAATCTGATTAAAGGTCCGGTTGGGTCCAAAGCTCTGATGGTTCTGCAGAAGCTGCAGGTTTTACTTGATTCAAATCATTTTTATAAAAACATTAAAGAGAAAACATCCAGTCCTGGTTCCTCCTGTCGAACATCAGAACCCAAACGGATCAGAACCGTTTCCTGCAGCTGGTTCTGTTGTCCTTCAGGTGGAGGTGTTTGAGTCTGCAGAGGATCAGGACTCCAGCAGGACGGAGCGGTCCATCCTGGTCCTCAGGGGTTCTGGGGGACAATTAGTCACTGCTGGTTCTACGGGCCTCCGGTCCGATCCATAAGTTCTGTTATGGATCTGCTGCTGATCGGCTGCAGAGGAAAGATTCAGTTTCACAATAAAATTTAAAATAAAATAAAATCTGAGTGGAGAAAATAAAACCACCTGAAGTTTTACTGTTTATTTAATGTTTGATTTTTCTCTGCTGGAAGCTTTGTCCTCATGTTGGACATGTTGTCCTCATGTTGGACATGTTGTCCTCATGTTGGACATGTTGTCCTCATGTTGGACATG